AAAAGTGTAGACTAAAATTTTTTCGTTTAAGGCGTCATTTTCAAAGATATAGGCTTTGAATATGTTTCTTTAAAAATTGACTTACAATTAGACTTACACGTGTATTTGATAAATTTTCGAACTCGATTTTCTCGAAGCATTTTAATGAAGTTTTTTTTACAAAAAAATTTGATTCTACATTTTTTATTTATTTTCGTACGTAGAATAACTGTCCTGTTAATTATTCTTTTCTGTTCAAAAATTCAAGTATATTTGATAAATTTTTAAACTCAATTTTCTCGAAAAATTCTTTCTTTTCGACTCATTTTTTTCATGTAGAATCACCTCCTCGGTTGTACCATTATAATATTGGGATACCTTGTCTATCTAACAAACAATCTATCTAATAACCAATAATAATGTTTATTTGAATCGAATTGTGCCGTGTTTGAATAATATAATTGATTTTAAATCGATCTCAATACTTTTAAATATTTAACCTACAATTCCTTAATCATATATGAAAAGCATACTATGCACAAAACTTTGTAGACTTCATATTTTTTTCATGATTCGAAACTTTCGAAACTCGAATAAGAAAAAGTGTAAAGTCAACGAATAAATAATTATATTGCAGTGTAAATAAAGAATATTTGATTCATGTATATCTTAAGTGTTCAGTGCTAAACCGTGGATGCGGTTTTTGTTCTAAATATGCAAATAAATGTACAATTGATCGTAATTCTGGACAATGTAAAATATCCAAATCTAAAAAATATAAAAAAGATATCTTACACTCTATCGTATACTGAAAGACTTCTCGGCAGAAAAAAATAGATTAGGTCCAAAAAGAGTTCGAATAGAGTGTTCTTAAGTAAGACTCTGAATTAAATATTTTTGTTATATTTTTGTTTATATTTTGTTTTTTATATAATTCTAGTTGTTAAAATAAGAAATTTATTTTATAAAATAAAATCAGCATTTTAAATTTCGAGAGTTTTCGAAATCTTACAAAATTTCTGTTTCGAGTTTCAAGAATATAAAAATTTCTTTTCTTTGCACAGGAATGTCGGATGAAAATTACGCACACGTATTTAATTTTAGACGTCCGATTTATATATTTTCTGAAGATATATCCAAATTACTAGAATGAATACAATTAAATTATAACGGAACCACATTTTGCATCTATCAACTATTTAAAATGCCTCTTATGTTAGAAAAGGTGGTTGCAAAAAACTAATTATGTAATGATGAAAATCACAACAAAGGCATCTCCTTTAACTTATACTCATAATATACTTATAATTCGACCAAAGTGCAAACAACTGATGAATTCATTCAATTTTGTGGAAATCGAAATAATTAAGGACACTTCAAGTCAAAAAATTAGAACAAGTTCAAAAGAATAAGATTTTATTAAACTAACTTTTTTATTATTTCCACAATACCTTAAAAAACCCAAAATGATAATTTACTTATACTTTAACCGATTGTCACAAATCTCAGAAGAAAAAAATCAAAGAAAAGTAGAATCAAATATTGTGCAACCATTTGAATTATTTATAATTTCTAAACTTTTTCATAAAATTTAGATTTAGATCATCTAATTTTAAAGAAATAGCTTCTGAATTTACTGATACTGACGAACTCATTCTCATTACTAATTCTGACGAACTCATTCAATTTATTAAAAGACTATATTCTTTATTAATCGATATGTCAATAATCATCTCACTAGAGTTATAAAAAAAGTAAATTCATGAGCTCAACTGGCTCCATGTCCATCGTCAGAAGAAGATTGAACTTTATTTTTTATATTTACATTTTATTTATTATAATTAGACACGCATATATGTATCAAAAATTAATTCAGTGGGCCATAAATGGAATAATATGAGTGATATAAATGGATTTAGATTTCATTATGAATACTTATTGAAACTAATAAATCCTCTTTGACTTTACATATTCACGAAACGAATTTCAAGAAAGATTATTACATTAATGTTAAAAGTTTTAATATTTTCTATAAAAACAGAATTATCAATTATTCTACACAACTGGTAGTTTATCTCAATTATTCTGCACAACTTATTGAAACTAAAAAGTCCTCTTTGATTTTACATATTCACGAAACGAATTTCAAGAAAGATTATTACATTAATGTTAAAAGTTTTAATATTTTCTATAAAAACAGAATTATCAATTATTCTACACAACTGGTGGTTTATCTCAATTATTCTACACAACTTATTGAAACTAAAAAGTCCTCTTTGATTTTACATATTCACAAAACGAATTTCAAGAAAGATTATTACATTAATGTTAAAAGTTTTAATATTTTCTATAAAAACAGAATTATCAATTATTCTACACAACTGGTGGTCACGTATGTAAGAAATAATTTAAAAGCTACTGAAATTTCTATCACTACATCCTTATTATTAGAAGCAATAGCAATGTCAATATTAATTTCAAACAGAAAAACTACTATATATAATGTGTATTTACCAAACAGCTATAGCCTTCTTTAATAAACTGATTGATAGTTGATTTGGTTCTTTCTAAATCTTTGGTGACTTTGACAATGAGCACAATACTCATTGGGGCTTTACTAACTTTCAGATTCAAAAGGAAAATTAATCGAAATTTTTTTAGAAAATTTAGATTTGGTATTTTTAATACATTCATTGCCAATTTTTCTGATTGTGTACATACCTCATGTTGGTGATGGATTGATATTGAATTTGTTCACTCGCTTGTGACTGATTAGTCTCGTCGACACTCCACTATCCGATTCACACGGATCGGTTACACTGGCAATGAACGAGTTGAACAAAACTGATCCACTCATTTCAATGTAGCAATAGGCCAAATTAGTAACATTGATGTCTTAATCTATTCGCCAAGTTTAACTGATATTTTAAATTGGTGTTAACGCCACTCGAGCGTTAATATCACTTTCAAGTGTCATTTTTAATGCATTGCGAAATGGTCGCAATATAATTAAAATTATGTAAATATAATTTGCTGATAGACAAAGATGGCTCAGGATTTCTTTTTGGCATAAAGAAATTTATTGTCTTACATATACCGCGGACAATGACGTTTACCTTACTTCATCGCGGCTATTATGTCGCGTGCTGTTGTCAATCTCGGTCACTGATCCGATGTTTTATGTTTTTAAGTATGTCGATCCTGCGATCGACGTTTTTGACTTTTTTGTATCGTTTGGACGTTTGATTATGTTACAGTAATTGGCTAACACTGGTTTGTGTTAACTCCTATAATGTTGTAAACAGCGAAGGATTAGTCTACGAATCGCTGCAAAGTTCGATATACGGCATTTAACACATTATCCACTATTCGGTAATTCGCGAATCGGCAATCAAGAGTTCGGTTACAGCAATTACAGTCTACTATTCGAAGGATATTCCAGATTGCTTCATCTCGCGATGAAGACATATCGATTTTTTCACACATTCTCGCTATCATTTCACTATCGATGTCACTAGAGGCTACAACAATTGGGTTGCATCTATGGAATTATTACAGCCTAAACACAGAAAAACTATTTATTTAAAGAACTGTTCAGATTTCAAGAAAACGGAATCCTGAAAAGTATTAAGACACGAGGCTTAAATTCTATCCTGTGATATGTACCAAATTTGCTACACATTTCAGGTACGTAATATATAGAATAATTTTCGTTGCAAAGTTACCAAAAGTTAACCAAAAAAATAAACCAAATCAGATACCTAAAAATATATTGAAAGAAATATTTGACTCCACAATACAATGCTTCAGGTGTAATTCCGCGGTTAATTTGCATTTGCAACATTAAAAATTGCGACAAAAAGTCAATCTGCATTGCGTGGATATTTATGAATCAAAAATTGTTAAATATTTCCGGACATATTGATAACTTGCATAAGTTACAAACACAATCGTTCAGCTAACTATTCGAAATGTCCAACACTTCTAGCTTCCCTGAAAAAAGAATCAAAGCAAAATTCCTCTGGTTTGCCACTGAATCCCCTTTCACTTCCGTCATTGGAATCCTTTCTATCTGTTACAAAACAACTTCAAATTGCTTATTACTCCGAGGTAGATGAAAATATTCACAGATTCGATGAAAAATTATCTATATTTTAAATTGTATCAAATGGGAAAGCAAGAATACTTTCGTTCTCAAATTCAAATGTCTTTCTGATAATGTCAAAAAATTTTTTCGTGACCATCGCGATCTTAAAAATTGAAGTTTTTTTTTTTTATAACGATCTCTTAAAACTTGCAGTGCGATTTGTTTCCCTCATTTTATTGAACTTTGAATATTAAGGTTCAAATGGCAAAATATTAGGGTTTCTTGAATTTAACTTTGTTTCGTTTAACTTTGATGTTCAAGATTTAATAAAATAGCGAAAAAGAAATCGTACAGTAAGTTTCAAGAAATTAATGTAAAAGGAAAACTTTAATCTTCAAAATCATAGTAGATCTAATCATGAAAAAAATTTTTCAGTGATTTTGGAGGCATCTAAATTTTTACAGTTTTCAACAACGAAAGTATTCTTGCTTTTCCACCTTATGTTACATGATGTAAAAACATCTTTGGAAAAAAAGAATTCACGCTTGATGTCGAGGCAGTTGCGACTGTTGCGTTGGCGAAGTAATGAAGCAGCCCTAATGATTCCAATGATGAGATCAAAAAATCACGAATAGTGGACTGTATGTTGATGTGCTTATACAGTACTCTTTTTTTAGAATTCTTGATTGCGGGTCTGTTTTATATGAGTTGGCTAGCCAGTGCTAATCATTTTAAAGTAGCCATTTGATTGCCCTAACGTAACTCGTTCAAAAAATGCTGGAATTAAAATATCAATCAAATGATCGATGCCAACTGTTCTTAGAGAACAGTGAACAGATCCATAGATCAACGATCAGGATTGACAACAACAAGCAACCGCGATACAATAACACAATGATAGACTTCTTGTTAATATAAAAAAAAAAACGGGTCCTTAATCTTGATTATAAATATCTAAAAAAATAAGATGAAAAATTTCTTCGTGCTGAAGAAAAATAAGAAAAACCTAAATCGTTCTTTGAAGATTGCTTGAATCGTTCTGAAAGATTTTAGAAGAAATTATTATACATAATTTAACTGCTTTATCTTGAACTGTCATACTCGACATGTTCAACCTAAATATCGGTATATTTAGCCTAAGCATATCGTAAGATTCGTACCGAATGTACAAAGCATTATTATTCTTACAGTTATGTAAAGAATTCTGGTTTATATCTATAGTATTTACACTAAATGAGAAACTTATTATTTACAGTACACATTTACAAAGAGTATATTACGAGTTTATCGACCCTTGATCGGATTCGACGTCGGAGATTCATTTATCGGAGGTCGCGTCAGGATCAGGTCGAATCTTAATGGCGCCCTCTGGATAGAACACATATTTTGGTGATCGGTCGTTTTGATAGATACAACTCTGATGATGCTACTTTTGCCCGGATGCACAGCAGTGATTCTGCCCAGCTTCCAATTTAACGGAGGCAAATCTTTTCCTTTCAGCATCATCATGATGTCCACGCCGAAGTGCTTTGAAGTAGCTATCTTCTATTCATTGCGCTGCTATAGCTGATTACGGAGGTAATCAGATTATCTCCGTTTCCAGAAATGTTTGATGCATAGCTTGTGTTAGATGTTGAAGCTTGGCTTAAATGGTAAATTTGGACCTCTGTAATGACAGGATCAGTGAATAGGTGTTTCACAAGGAAATGCTATAAAATGAGAGGATTTAAATCGGAGGGATCTGAGGACATGAAATACAGTGGTCGCGAGTTCATGCATTTCTCGATTTGTTCTTTAAATGATAATCGCGTTTTTTCAACTATTCGTAACAAGTTGCTTTGTAGATTTAATTGCACTCTCTCATAACTAACATAATTTAATTGCACTCTTCAAAACGAGGAACATGGGGAGGAATGGAGTATCAATCAAAGCTTTCAGAGACCATGAATTCAGAAATGAATTTCTGATTTGATGACAAGAACTCCTTAATATAGCTCTATCTTTAGTGAAATTTGCGCGTCCCAATGAAATTTGTGTCGTTACCTGAATATATTTCCCTGCACCTATCTCTTCGTGCTACGAATCAGCGCAAGCACACGAACAAACATAAGTAAGCCTTGGCTATTGTCTTGTTGCGAATCTTTTTAGGAGGGGCTGCGTAGTCAACGCCAGTAGAGAAAAAAGAACTTTGGTCAATCACTTTAGCTTTAGGCAATTGTCCTCGCAGGTAGCTTATATCTCTTGGATTTACTCTATTGCATCAGATGCAATTTCAAATTATCCTCTTAATTAGGTTCCTAGCCGCAAGAAGTTAGTATCTTTTAACTACTGATAGCACTGACCCGACGTGCAACATGCGACTGTGTTCTCTGATAATTATCAATTTTGTTATGAAACTATCCTTAAGAAAGATTATTGGATGTTGCTGCTCGTACTTAACATTGGCGAATGCGAGTCTATCACCGGAGAAATCGATTATTATCTAAGAAAAGCAATTCAACGAGCTAAACTTGGAGATTCCTTTATTTTTTTGCAAATTGGAAATTTCTTGGTTGAAATGCCTGCTTCTGGATTATTTTGATTATAAAGCTTTTGGAATTGTTTAATTCATTTGTTAATAGATGACGTCCTAGAACCGTAAGCATTGCTTCGAGCGAGCGTTTCCCACTCCGTTTATTATTACCTATTCGTTAACGCAGCACGTTATAGAATGTGAAACGATACGCGACTCAGATCAAACGCGTGTAGTTTGAGTATTTCTAAAATATATCAAGCGTGTAATCAATACTCAGTTGCATTGAGGAACAGACAATGGCCCTTTCTTTCAACGCCCAAAGAAAACGATCCTGTGATTGACTATTTATTCTAGATGAGTCATGCCGGATCTGTCCACCAAAGATGCAAGTCTTATGCAGCGAATTCACGCATTTCACGTGATAGAAGATCCACGGGATTTTTTTACAACGCAATACGTCGCCACACGCCGTGTGTGACATTTTGGATCTTCGTGAAGCAATTTGCCACAAATGTCTTTCAACGATCAGAGCGTTCCTTTTATCTATGCCAAACCAATCATGGAGCCAGTCCAATACGTCTCACAATGAATTGTGAGATTCGAACTGGCATGTATCAATTGATTCATAACAGAGCTCCGATTAATTTTAGTCGTGGTTTTTTGAAAAAGTGCTACACGCGACTTAAAACATACAAACGAAATATAGTACGCCCTGATTCATCGATCGTACGCAGGCATACGCAGGCAATAACTAGAAATTTCTAATTATGTGTTGTGGCACTGACTCATCCTAGGAGAATCCTGACTACACATTGCCTGTATCAATGCATTTGCGTTAATAATCACGAGAGCTACCAACCAGAGAGTATCGAAGATTCTTGCCAGGTGAGACAAAATAAGCCAAATGTTCTGGGATACTTGTTTGTTTCTGATACAATATTCATTTCCTTTGTTCTTTAATTGTGCTTTAATTTGCCGCGTCTGTGCCGACAACGCAACAAACAGATCAACGCAGAAATCTCTAATAATTACGCAACTTGAGAAAGAAGCACGCTTGTTGTTAGCTTCGATATCGATTTGTCGCAAGGAAAAATATGGCGGTGTTTAGTTCATATATCTCTGATGATTGCGACGAATTTTCTCGGTAAAGAATACGTTGAAAAGTCCACTGTTTGAGTTTCACAAGTATCTAGCTATTTATTTGTTTGATGTCGACACTTAATACAGCAAGATGCTGACGGAAATGGTTAAGAATAGGAAATAAGTCATCCTGGACTGCCAGACTGACTAACCGAGTATTATTAAGAAATAGATTACTAAATGTTTTCGCGGATCCATTGAAAACGACGTGAATCTTGGTAGTGGTGTTAGTCTTTTCAATTACCGCATGATGCGGTATTTGAAATAATATGTAAGGTCGGTGTTCGATAAAGAGTTACTTATTACTTTAGACACGTGTCCTAATACTAAATATTCTTGCACGTGCGACATGCGCGCGGAGTATATTAGGAGTTTTTAATAACTTTCTTTCTAAGTTAAAAGATCTATTTTCAGCTATAGGTTTGGAACCATTTAGCTCTCGTACGTTATTGGAATATTCACCACTTACAAGCCAGTATTCTGTGTAACGGTTTGTTTAAAGTGTTCCTCGCATGAATGAGTAGATCGTTCATTATTATTAGAAACATCCTCCATCTCCTACAATCGGGACAATTGTTCACTTGTAATCAAGTTGTACATCTGGAGCTCTGTGTTCTCGCGAATACGTCCCTTTAGGGGACTCCGTTAAGACCCATCCTAATCATTCCTAACTTAGTTTTGAGGAGAAAGGATAGTCCCAATTCTAAATGGCGCTGCCTCACGTACATTAAATTCCATAGACAACTGTTTCCGATTATTAAATCTATAAGGACATGGTATTGCGGATTCGCTAGATTTAAGGAGTTAGATGGAGTTAGGTTCCATTTAAAATTTGGAACGATTGTAGTTAATTTTTTCATAACCAAGCATGGCATAATAGTTCAATAACCGAATTAACTGACCGACTCCTGATATGACTGAATATTCTTTTGGATTGTCCTGACTTGCTCAGCAAATTCTCTTTTTATAATGTTCATCTATGAACAATGTATATTATATTAATCAAGAAATATCCTAGCTTCGTGCTTTATATCTTTCGCGACGATAATATATATACAATCGCAGTTGATAATAAAACGTGCTTTGAATGTCGAATGGGGTGCACATGTTACATTCTGGGATATACTGACTCGATTTCTAACCTCATCCTTCGTCTCTTTCTCCGCAAGATTAGTTGATGTTTTGAAGGAAGAATGGATTTACTTGAATGCAATAACGTGTTGATGTCTTGCTTAGTAGGTGCGGTTACAAGATTTGGCACTGTTGACAATTGAGGCAAACTTTCAATTACTTTATCTTCTCAATACGCTGATTAGTGGGAAGCACTAATTGCAGTAGTACAAAAAATAGTTTACGAAGCAGATAGGACATTTGTTGGTATTCGTTGTGGAGCAATGATTAATTTGCGGAAGTCCCTGCAAGATAAATAACTGAATGTTGAGACGGCGGGTTGTTTTACACGAATTGATTTCGATAGAAATTTATAGCATTGTTCGATGAGCACTTGTAAATTGCAAAGAGTTTTTCGTCGTTCTTTCGTTCTGATATGCGTTTATTTCAAGCTTTCTTTGCTCGCGCATCTAACCTCGCGTTCAAAAGATGTATCAGTAAGATGTGCCATTTTTCTACGGGCTCTTCTAACGACTTCTAATGACGCGACAGAGAATAGTACCCTCACATGATAGTCTATTAATTCATTTGTATCTTTGTACCATTCGCGTAGTAAGTGCAACGTAGCATTACAATTATTATCTAATATTGCCCAGAAGAGCATAAGTACCTCCCTTTACTGCAAATTTGAGATAATGGAACTCGATATTTCTTAACGATTCATTATTGTTTGTCAGTGACTCGAATATACCCTCTATGAAACCGTAGAAATTCAGCAAAAGCGAGTAGCTTGATCGCAGGAAATGTTCCGGATATAGCAGATGATTCGGTCACAATCTAAAAGTTTTGCACGTTCGTGGCCGCCACGTGATTTTTTGCACGCTGTACGTAACTCCTTAACGCGTCAAAATACATATTTTCAGTCATCCTTGGTTTGCTTATGAATTGCTATTGAATTGCTTCATCAGAAGTTCTCTCAATTATGCACTCCTATATTGTTTCAAGCTTATCAATGAACAACACGTTTCTGTTTAATCGTTCCTGAAGAGAATCGATTGCCGCGTTCTTCCCATGCGTAAAAGTTTAAAATTTTGTTAATATAGTTTTGATGATGTAGATCACGCTCTTCTATTAGTTTGCGAAGGCTCTCGTCATCTGCTAATGACATGTTCTTTTTATCGCAAATTAGACAATAATGAATCTCGACTGATTTGATGGAGAATTCTTAGTGCCGTTTGACCGTTCTGAATGACTTCTAGAAAGTCGATGACGTAGAAACACCTTTGAATTTTCCTTCTTCATTGGAACAGTTGTTTCAGAGCATTTCCAGAATTATGAGTGTTTCTTGAGGTTGTCCTTGATCACTTTTGGAGTGTTGATCTTCCTTGTAAGGTGCTTGTCACCATCGTTCTTGCTGAAACAGGAAGTAGTAGCTGATATCGGCGATCACCAAATATTGAACTATCTTTTAAACTAGTTTTTCGAGTTAAGCGGATTAATATTTTTTAACAGAGAATAAAAGGATGCATCGGTTGATGTACAAAAAATATAGGGTACCATTTAAAAAAATTAAGTTGATCTTGAAATTTCCGAAACGTTTCCACTTAAAAACAAACCAGTTTCATCGATATCCAGATATTCATTAAAACTGGATATCCTGTATATGCCCGAAGTGTAAATGAAGAATTTTAGATAGAATCGACAACAATGTTTATATCTTTTTATCTTAATTCCTACAGTTATTAGTGTTGCAGTGCAATATTTGCCTAAATCGATAGGGCAGGACGTAATACGAAAATCGTAAGGAGATCCTCAAAATATGAGATACGAAAAAGCATGTTTATCTGACTGATCCTTATTAGACAATGGCGTGATACAAGAACACATGTCATATGTATTCTGTATCATGTCTGCAGTAAAATCTCCGAAGCATAGGACACGAAAGAAACATTACATATTAGATCTATTCTGTAGTAGTCATCGATGATGTAATGTTTAGTCTAGCGAAAAATTTCATATACATATCATGATTAATATTTTGCAAATTTGTTCTATGCTAACGCAAAGCATGTGACACAAGAATGCATTGAATAACAATATCTGTTTCGTTTATGGTTATGTACAGGATAAAAAATGCATTCAATACTAAATTTTTGGTAACAAAAATATATTTCTCTCTATAAATATACAACAGAACAACTTTTTTTTAAGTAAATTCTTTGGTTTTTTGTATCTTATTAGTTCACGTATCACTTTCTATTCACAGGATAGAAGAAACCGAGAAAATAATAGAAATATTTCTTTTTCATTGTACGCTAGGTCGGCAAATTGGAATTGAACTTTTTGCCTCTTCCAGTGCAGAAAATCATCATAATCTTCTAGTGATCAAAGTTCGCACCATCTTAGGATAATTAGGATAAGTTAGAGTAGGTTAATTATTCTTATTAGTTACATATTAAGTAACATGATTAATATTTGCAAATTTG